ATAAATAAAATTTTTTTAAAAAGAATTTTTTATATCCTGTCATCCACAAATAGAAATGGTTTTACTTCTTCCTTCCTAATCTAGATGGCTTTTATGTCATTTTCCCATCTTACTACCTTAGCTAGAATCTCTAGTACAATGTTGAACAGGAATAGCAAAAACAGATATCCTTGTCATAATCTTAAGAGGAAACATTCAGTCTTTTTCCAGTAAGTAGGTTTTGTTTTTTTTTTACCAGAGGACATGTGCACTCAGCAGACAGAGAGAAAGAGAAAGCACGCCAAGTGCTGAATGGTCACACTACAATCCCTTCTCTTCCGTCTTTCCCTCCATTAGGGACTTGGGCACACACACACTCGCCCAGCACTTTTTTTAAGCTGCTGGGATTCAAACCATGTGCTCAGCCATGTGGGATCCAGCTGCCTTAACCACCAGGCCATCATAGAACTGGCCCTTCTTTTTTTTATTTTTTTTGGAGAGGTTTTTGCTATAGGGTGCATGCGCTTGCCAGAAAGACAGAGAGAGACAGAGAGATAGAAAGCGAGAAATCACCCCCCAGGGGGTATGGCCACACCGTAATCCCTTCTCCATTCTCCTCTCAGGATCTTGGGCACGCATGTACCGGTGCCTGGAGTGAGTTTAAGCCACCGGGTCTGGGACTCGAACCGCTGTCGGCTACATGGGAGTCCAGCAATATAGCCATCATGCTAACTGCTGGTCCCATCCCTTCTTTTTTTTAGAGAGAGATTTTTTGCTATAGGGCGCATGTGTTTGCCAGAGAGACAGAGAGATAGGAAGTAAGAAATCACCCCCTAGGGGAATGGCCATGCCACAATCCCTTCTCCTCCCTTCTTCTCTTGGGATCTTGGGCACGCATGCACAGGCGCCCAGCCTGAGTTTTAAGCTACTGGATCTAGGACTCAAACCACAATAGACTACATGAAAGTCTAGCAATGTAACCATTATGCCATCTGCTCATCCTGGAGCTGGCCCTTTTAAATAGTTTCTAAAATTTAGTTTTATAAGGAAACAAGGACCGGATATGGTTGGGGAGTTCTCAATTCATGATTCTTGTGACTCTCCTAGAGAGCTGTGAGAAGGTAAGGTGCCCTGACTGCACCTCAGACAGATGAGTTAAAGCCTCGGGCTAGGGCCTAGATGTCAGCACTTTTAAAACCTCTCCAGGCAACTGCAACATGCAGTTGGGGGGCGAGAAGCACAGCAGCAAGCCAGGAAACAAGTCCCAAGTTTTACACTCCGAAACTAGGTTTTTAGATTAACTTTTTTTTTTTTTTTGGGAGAGGTTTTTGCTATAGGGCACGTGCGCTCGCCAGAGAGACAAAGAGAGAGACAGAGAGACAGAAAGTGAGAAATCACCCCCCAGAAGGGATGGCCACACCACAATCCCTTCTCCTCCATTCTCCTCTCGGGATCTTGGGCACGCATGCACACACGCCCGGCGTGAGTTTAAGCCACTGGGTCCGGGACTTGAACCGTGGTCGACTACGTGAGAGTCCAGCAACATAGCCATTACGCTAACTGCTGGTCCCGGTTTTTAGATTAACTTTTTCCCCCTCTTACAAAATAAACCCATCAGTTCTACCAGCTCAAGTCACGATTACTACATCTTATGGTGCAGACGAAAGCTAAGGAGTCTGAACAATCTGCTTCTTGGAGAAATGGAGCGCCAGGTTTCAAGCTCTCACCAAGCCCTGAAGCCCATCACCTTTTATTCAGAAGCATCTCTACCTGCCACTATTTTCTCGGCCTGGCTACAGATCCGGCCATGATCCTCCCCTCATTAAAATCCTTCCTGTATGTACTGTCTTAGAATCAAGTCCAGACTCAACAGGCACACAGCCCTGCAGAACCAGGCCGTGCGCAGCAAGAATGAGCCATGCATTCAGGCAGCTCTAGTGCTGGTCTAAACGGCCAAACCACCAACCACTCAAACAGATACTGCGCAGTCTCAGTGGCTAGCTAACGTGCCAAACTGGGAACATTAATATTAAAGAAACACGAACAGCGGCTCCGGGGGTTGTGCACCACAGCAAGACTGCTGGCCTGGCCCTGCCTTTTTCCCAGCCTCATCTCTCTCCAGCCTCCCTTTATTTCCTAACTCATAGCCTCCTCTCTCAAATGCATTTCCTTCTGATGGAACATTGGCTCCTTAACCTGCAGACCTCAGCACTTCTTGGAAGAAGGCAGCCTCAGCACTGCCACCATCACTGCCCTGCTCCAGGTTAGACGCTCCATCTGTGTCCTCCAAAGGTCTGTAGGCATTCTCAGTGCTACTGAGTGCACGGACCATGTTGGCCTTGCTCACTAATTCCCAGGGTGTGGCACCCAGAAAGTACTTGATTTATGTGGAATAAAGAGGAGCCCAGATTAAGGCGTGACCTCGCCCATTGGGGATGCTTTCTTCTCCCTTTGTCTCTCTCTGGTAAATGGAAAAAAAAAAAGTAAAAGAAAGAAGCAGGGAGTGGGGACAGAAGGAGCGTGGAGCAACAGCTCCACCGACCAACAGCAAAAGGTAACGGCGCTAACTCGGGTTTCACTTCCCACCGCCTCTAAGGTGAAGCTCTGTGGGAAACGTTAACAGCCCCGAACTGGAGGGCTACATGGATGATAAGCATTTGACTATTTTTTGCAATTATTTTTATGAGTTTGAAATTTTTCATAGTAAGTCTTTGGGGGAGAAAAAAGTGGCCTGTGCCTCCATTCCTAATTCTGCTTTTGCTGCTAAATATCCTTGACTACAAGTATTCCTTCCTAAATATTCTCTTTTTTTATTATTTATTTATTTATTATTATTACCATTATTTTAATTTGCTGTAGGACACATGCAAGAGACAGAAAGAGAGGGGGAAAGTGAGAAAACAAGCTGCCGGGTCCAGGACTCAAATGATGGTCGTGTGTGTGGGAGCCCAGTGCCCTAACCACCATGCCACCTGCTGGTCCCCCTTGCTAGATAGTCTAGCAAAGGTACTCATTAGGTATCTTTAGATACAGGACACCCAGCCACAAACCACCATCATAATTTTCCTACCACACAGGGCAATGCCACAGAACAGAGAGCACACACCCGCTGCCAGTATAAGACGGTACTAAAGAATCCTTAGGTCAGCTAATAAAAAGCAAGATCTGCCGGGAACCAGCAGTTAGCGTAATGGCTATGTCGCTGGACTCCCACGTAGTCGACTGCAGTTCGCGTCCCGGACCCGGTGGCTTAAAACTCACGCCGGGCGCGTGTGCGTGCGTGCCCAAGATCCCGAGAGGAGAATGGAAGAGAAGGGATTGCAGCGTGACCATCCTCCCTGGGGGGTGATTTCTCGCTTTCTGTCTCTATGTCTCTCTCTGTCTGTCTGGCGAGTGCACACGTCCTATAGCAAAAACCTCTCCAAAAAAAAAAAAAAAAAGGCAAGATCTGCCAATAACTAGATACTGGGTTCCAACAATATGCTGGGAATCCATCAATTCCCTTTCACTTATAGTTTTTTCCAATAGGTGAGGAGAACTGCTGTCAGGTCTGAGAAGAAGGAAAAGATGCTGGCGAGGCTGAACAAGCTGCAGAAGAGAGCACGGGAAGTCAGGGGAACGACGTTGCATCAATTCAGCTTGCCCTGGTGCTGGCCTAGCAACCAAAGCACCGACCAGCCACGTGTGCTCCGTTCCTGTGACTACCTAACGTGTGCCAAGACAGAACGAGCCCCCGCTCATGATGGCTACTCCCAGTCCCACGCAACCATAAACAGCTCTCTCTAGAGAAAATACTGATGAGGACATCAACATTTCAGGTTCAGCAGAGGAAGAACCCCTCGCTTTCTAAGCCCTCTGTCCCTCGGACACGACACTCCTGAGGCAAAGAACTGTGCCGTGAGTGCTGCTGACTAAGCACTGACACTCGCCATTACCTCTTGCTGCTTCTCCTCATTGGGGTAGGTGTCTACAAATACTCCCAGCCCCACAAATTTGTCCATGTTTCCAAACACAGGCCCTAGAGAGAAAGAACAGAGGATGAACAGTGAAATCAAGCCAAGAGTCGATAAAGGAATAATATATCACTATGACGGAGGAAAAAGTGAAATTCAAATGACTCCTGGGCCACTCTTAAGATGAGAGAACATAGGCAAAAGCTCCCAGCAAAGTGCATGGCCTCTAACAAACACCCAGTAGCTGTTTGTTGTTGCAGGCAGGGGAAAGAGAGAAGGCAACCTTGTTTAGCACCATGGCAGCTCCCTGATCCAAACTGGTTGCTAAGGTGCCCCTACAGAATTCTGTTTCACTAACATTCAGTGAAGACTCTGCCCCCAAGAGAGAACTGAATTCCCAAAGTCCACTGCTTGTTGCAAAAGAGATCAGGTCAAATCGGGTTGAGCCCGTGATCTGCTTGGAGCAATGCTCCTGCACAACAAGGAAAAACAGAAAACTGTTTCCTCGACTCAGCAGTGCTGAGATCATTCGCTGTCCATGCCCAGAAGAAATCAGCTCACCCAGCTGCTGGTGTTCGGGAGAGCCAGTGCTTTTGCCCAGCCAATGGGCCAGGTGGTTTCACAGGGAAACTCAGAAAGAACTAAAAAACAAGAAATTGCCCCAGGATGAATCAAGCTCTTTGTTAGGACTCAGACCCCATTAGACAGATGAGAAACAGGCCAGTCTTCATCTATAGACATCAAGGGAGAGGGACAACTGCTGGCATTCTGGGGGAGGACCCTCCGCAAAAAGAGGGCATGTGAAAAAGCAGGCCTGTCATACCCACACGACACTGATCCAGGGTCCCAGTACCTGGTTGCATCCGATCCTTTGTGTACCAGATTGCCAAGCCATCCCCATGCAGATTCTTCTTCCCTTGGCCATGGATTTTAAAGTGCACCTGCAACTCCCATCAGCAGAGGAAGAACCCCTCGCTTTCTAAGCCCTCTGTCCCTCGGACACGACACTCCTGAGGCAAAGAACTGTGCCGTGAGTGCTGCTGACTAAGCACTGACACTCGCCATTACCTCTTGCTGCTTCTCCTCATTGGGGTAGGTGTCTACAAATACTCCCAGCCCCACAAATTTGTCCATGTTTCCAAACACAGGCCCTAGAGAGAAAGAACAGAGGATGAACAGTGAAATCAAGCCAAGAGTCGATAAAGGAATAATATATCACTATGACGGAGGAAAAAGTGAAATTCAAATGACTCCTGGGCCACTCTTAAGATGAGAGAACATAGGCAAAAGCTCCCAGCAAAGTGCATGGCCTCTAACAAACACCCAGTAGCTGTTTGTTGTTGCAGGCAGGGGAAAGAGAGAAGGCAACCTTGTTTAGCACCATGGCAGCTCCCTGATCCAAACTGGTTGCTAAGGTGCCCCTACAGAATTCTGTTTCACTAACATTCAGTGAAGACTCTGCCCCCAAGAGAGAACTGAATTCCCAAAGTCCACTGCTTGTTGCAAAAGAGATCAGGTCAAATCGGGTTGAGCCCGTGATCTGCTTGGAGCAATGCTCCTGCACAACAAGGAAAAACAGAAAACTGTTTCCTCGACTCAGCAGTGCTGAGATCATTCGCTGTCCATGCCCAGAAGAAATCAGCTCACCCAGCTGCTGGTGTTCGGGAGAGCCAGTGCTTTTGCCCAGCCAATGGGCCAGGTGGTTTCACAGGGAAACTCAGAAAGAACTAAAAAACAAGAAATTGCCCCAGGATGAATCAAGCTCTTTGTTAGGACTCAGACCCCATTAGACAGATGAGAAACAGGCCAGTCTTCATCTATAGACATCAAGGGAGAGGGACAACTGCTGGCATTCTGGGGGAGGACCCTCCGCAAAAAGAGGGCATGTGAAAAAGCAGGCCTGTCATACCCACACGACACTGATCCAGGGTCCCAGTACCTGGTTGCATCCGATCCTTTGTGTACCAGATTGCCAAGCCATCCCCATGCAGATTCTTCTTCCCTTGGCCATGGATTTTAAAGTGCACCTGCAACTCCCAGTCTCTCAGGAAACACGGCTAAAGGAAAAAGACATCGGGATCAATGAGGAGCATGAGATGCAAAACCTCTCAAGCCCTCAGCAGCAGTCTACAGACTTGGAAAACATAAATGCAGGCAACGCGAGGCTAAAGGTTAAAATCAAAATCTAAGACACACTAAGTATTCATATTATAAAATTTAATGGATAGAACCATTCAGCAGTTTAAAAGAGTAGATAGGAAAGCCTCCAGATTATCTTCAACCTCTCCCAATAGAAATAGGATAGCCCTCCAGAGTTGGAAAAGCCCAAGAGCATGCAAGGTTAGACAACTGTGAGCTTACATCCATGCAGCAGAGGTTCTGAGCCTCCAGAGTATAGAAAACTGAATTATACTCATTTGCAAAATTATACTTATTGTATGCTCTCTCACAGAAGAAAGATCAAAGCCGCTTTCATTGCAAAAGAATAAGGAAAGCTAAGTCATCATGCAAAGGTTTCCAGGAATAATTAGCAGATTCTATAAACAACTCTAATTAGCTATACTTGGCGCTCCGCCAGTTGGAGGGGTAAGCCAAAGTTCCCATGAGAAGGACATGTTGCAGCCCCCTAAACTCTCCTGCCAATGGCCAAGAAGCAAAAAATACACAAGGTGAGACCACCACTTCCACCACAGGGACAGCACGGTGGGAAAACATTAGGAGGTGGGCACTAATCAGACGATTTTCTTTTTTTGAACTGTGTGACAAAACTCTATAAAAAATGGAGAAGGAAGGCCAGATCTGTAGTGCAGCAGTAATATACAACTAAAGAGAAGCTGGATCCCACACGGCAACCATGGTCTGAATCTCCGGCCTGCTCGGCCTGAAACACGCCAGGCATGCACAGGAGTACACGGAATTTGACAGGCTGGGGGATGGGGCTCAAGATGTGACCAGACCCTGTGAAGGGTCCTCCTGTCTCTCAGCCTTTGTCCCCTCCCTTCTCTCTCTAAGAATGAAGTGGAGTGAAAAATAAAATGAAGAAGGAGGCAAGAGGATGGTTAAGTGTTCTCTACAGCAGAAGAGTTTCAAGAAGAAACCAGGAGTACTTGGTTTAGAGAGGCTCCATTGTGAAGAAAGACAGGAAGGAAGAACAGACCGACCGGCTGGGTTTAACCAAAGGTTCTCCAAATAGGATTGCTCTGACTCTTGAGTAACAATTTGCTCTGTCATTTTCAGTTTTCATTTTTAATACTGGGATATTTTCCAAAAGCATTAGTATTAGGAGTGCGCAGAATGAAAGAGGGCTGGCACTTCTGCATTCAACACGGAACCCTGAATCTCTAATAAATCACCGTCCTCTGATAAACCCAGTCCTGTTCTTGTTGTTGAGTTCTTATTATTTTTATTTTTTAAGAGAGATTTTTACAATAGGGCATGTATGTTCAAAAATTTTCCCCCAGGGAAGACAGCCACGCCACAATCCCTTCTCCTTCATTCTCCTCTCGGGATCTTGGGCATGCACGCACACGCACCTGGCATGAGTTTTATGTTGCCAGATTTGGGACTCGAACTGTGGTTCACTATGTAGGAGTCCAGTGACATAACCATTACATAATCTGCTGGCCTCTCGAGAGGGTTTTTTTGCTATAGGGTGCGTGTGCTTACCAGAGAGACAGACAGAAAATCAGAAATCACCACAAGGGGAGGGAAAATGGCCATGCCACAATCCCTTCTCTTCTGTTCTCTTGGGATTTTGGGCTGACATGCACACATGCCCAGCGTTGAGTTTTAAGTCACCGGGTCCACGACTTGAACTGTAGTCAACTACCTGGGTGTCCAGCAATGTAACCATCATGCCATCTGCTGGTTCCATCACTGGGTTCTTATCTCTTTGCTGTTTCATTTAGATTTCAGGGCAAGAGAGAAATTCAGGGGCAGGAAGCTACTGCAAGGCCAGCAAGTAGGTTTGAAATGCCCCTGGGAGGAGGCAAGGCTGGAGTTGCTCTCAGTGAGCCAAGAAGTGTCTGCCACTGGTTCCTGGCCTTCTGCAGCACAGTGTTATCAAGCTGTGCTCAGGGCCACGTTCAACAGAGGTTCTGAGAATTTGCTGCACTGGATTCATTTAAGGAGCTTGTAACAATCCCCATGGCCAATCCACACCCCATTCCAATTAGATCAGAATCTCGGGGCGGGGGGGGAGGCATCTACTCCAACAGACAACTAAATCTGAGAACCACTGCTCAAACATATATATGCTATTCAATAACTTGAACACGATTCATTCTAATAGCCAGATAGTTCATCTAATAGCCAGATAACAGAGAATACAGGTATAGAGAATGTGAATAAGCGCAGGAGAACTAGATCCTAGACCAGAATTTCTGCTAAAAGAGTTAAGTAGAGACAGAGAGCTAACAAGAGCAGCCCTGTAGGGACCAGCAATTAGCGTAATGGCTATGTGGCTGGACTTCCACGTAGTTGACCACGGTTCATGTCCCGGACCCGGTGGCTTAAAAACTCACACTGGGTGCGTGTGCGTGTGTGCGTGCCCAAGATCCCGAGAGGAGAATGGAGAAGGGATTGCGGCGTGGCCATCCCCCCTGGGGGGTGATTTCTCGCTTTCTGTCTGTCTGTCTGGCGAGTACACACGCCCCCCCACAAAAAAAAAAAACCCAAAAAAAAAAAAAAAAAAAAAAAAAAAACAAAGAGCAGCCCTGTGTCAAGCCTTGGATATAATCACTTAGTAACCTCTAAGAGCTCCACCAGTGATACAAGTATCATATAACAACACCACACCACATATTCTGCAACTATGTGAATGTTCAAAAGATTTTTCATTTCTACTGTCATATTCTCAAGACAACCTTGGGCAAGTAAAACAGGTATTCTGAAGCTCATCTGCAGATTGGCAAACTGAGGGGCTGCTGGGTCTGAGAAGGGCCAGATCTGGAACCCAAGTCTTTCAAGTGCCCTTTGCATGTTCTACCAGAACACGACTCTCTGTACTCTGCCCAAAATCGAGCTCAGAGCTGCAATCTGGGTTAAGGGGCCAGCCTGTGCAGACAGCACCTGTAGAATTCTCTGCCACAGAGGAAAAAAAACAGTCCTCTTTTCTGAGGCTCACTTATCTATGACTAATGAGCAAAAAGCCACGTGAAAGAAAGTTCTAGCTTTGTTTTGGGAGAAACCCAAGAGTATCAAAGGATGCCAAGGTCATTCCTAAAAGTAAAGCGGCAGTAAAAGATTTAGGAAGAGCCCTGAAAACCGAAAAGCAAGCATCATCTTACACTTATACAAAATCACAGTGCAGCCGCACCAGGAACACCGCGTTCACTTCTTGCCGCCATACCTCAAGAAAGACAAGGTGGCTAGAAAAGGTCTGGAGGACACGTAAAATGACCAACGGCTCAGAGTGGCTTTCCCAGGAAAATCAAATTTAAAATAATACTTTTCAAACTCAAATAACAGAGGAGGGATTCTGGGATAAAGTCTGAGATACATTTAAAGGCGTCTTCTACTTTACAAAGTAGAACGAACAGCAGTTCAGTTATTAAACCCCAAGAAGTTATATTCTTAGGTCAATCAGGAACTAAAGACATTTCAGAAAACAGATTTAAAGTCAATTCTTTTCAACAATTAGGGCAAAAGAGAGCATTTCCCTAAATAACTGATTCTTTATTTAAAGGTCATAGTAATCTCCTAAGTAAACATCCTTGATACCCATGGAAGGTGTAATACTGGGGACAGACACACAATTAAGTCAATATGTCACCGCTAAACTTTTTATGACTTTCTAGGTCACCAAGACAGAAGGGAGAAAGATTCTTACCACCCGGTTCCACAAGGCACCCTGTTTACTCTGCATGTCTGGGGTAAGGCGGATATACTGGGTCATCACCATGGCATTGCCCATCAGATTCCACAGTGAGGAACTACCTGTGCCCACACCTACGGGGAAGAAGCAGATTAGTTAACAGGTTTCAACACCAACTCATTAGGAAAACCACCTCAGGGAACCAGCAGATGGCATAATGGTACTGCCACATAGTCCACTGCGGTTTGAGTCCCAGACCCGAAGGGTTAAAACTCGCACCGGGTGTATGTGTGTGTGTGTGCTCAAAATCCTAAGAGAATGGAAGATTCTGGCCTGGTCATCCCCCCTGGGGAAATGATTTCTCACTTTCGCTCTGTCTCTCCAGCAAGCACACTAGAATGCTGTTTTACTGGTTTGATAGCAGTCCAAATAACTCCTTGTAATTTTTTTTTTTTGAGAGGTTTTTGCTATAGGGTGCGTGCACTCGCCAGAAAGACAGAGAGAGACAGAGACAGAAAGCGAGAAATCACCCCCCGAGGGTATGGCCACGCAACAATCCCTTCTCCTCCATTCTCCCGTTGGGATCTTGGGCACGCACGCACACGTGCCCGGCGTGAGTTTAAGCCGCCGGGTCCGGGACTTGAACCATGGTCAACTACATGGGGGTCCAGCGACATAGCCATTACGCTAACTGCTGGTCCCACTCCTTGTAATTTTTGAAGATGATACACCATCTGGAAAACTATCATGACGGATGTTTCTGAATATAGCTGGTCTTACATGTCTGCAGTCATCAAAGATTATTAAATTGTACAAAAACATTAAAGTGGCCTGGTTTTACAAAAAAGAGAGAGAGAGACCAGCAAATAGAGTAAGGGTTACATTGCTGGACTCCCATGCAGTCTACCATGGTTCGGGTCCCGGAACTGGCAGCTTGAATATCATGCTGGGTGCGTGTGTGCGTGCCCAAGATCCTGAAAGAATGGAGAGAAGGGATTGTGGTATGGCCATCCCCCACAGACCCCCGGGGAGACGGGCGGGCAGGGGTGATGATTTCTCACTTTCTGACTCTCTGGAAAGGGCACAAGCCCTATAGCAAAAATCTCTTTTAAAAAAAAGGAAAGCCACCTCAGAGATTTCAAAAGCTGAAGGCATCTCTTTTCTCCCCTTTCATATCATTCAATCTCCTAGCACTCATACATTTTAAACCCTGACCACTCTTACAGCTCTCTTTCACGAGGCCCTCTCGGGTGAAGACCTCCAAGTCCATCAGAGCTACCACTTCCTATACACCACAACTACCACAGCTCAGATCTTTTCTTTTCATTTTATATGTGAGTAAACTTTCAACATCATGAAAGAAAAGAACTGCCCCAGTTACACCAAAAAGGTTCACCTTTAGGCCTCTGGAGCTTTAGCGCATTGTTTCTTTAAAGGATCCTTCAAATGCAAGTGCGAACCTACTCCTCCCTGTATCCTCAGACAATAAACTCCTCAAGCATTTAAAACTCTGGGGCCAGCAGGTGGTGTGGAGTCAAGGCCTTGGAGCCCAGCGGTTTGAGCCCTGGACCCAGTGGCTTGAAGGGGTGCGTGTGCATGCCCAAAATCCCTAGAGGAGACTGGAGAGAGGGTTGCCTGTGGTTGATTCCCCCGGGAGGTGATTTCTCACTGTCCCTCCCTCACTTTCCTCTCTCTGGCAAGGGCAGGGCCCTATAGCAACAACAAAAAAACCCTCTGTCTGTGTAACCCCTAACGGTAGGGAGTTACAGCAGAGGAGTTCTCAATGCCTCTGCAGAGTAAACGACTACCCTTAGTAACAGTGTTTACTTTCCTGTACTTTGAGTTATTTGTTTGCACTCCCCCATCCGAGTCTCAGTGGGAAACAGACTTGTAGTAAAGTTCTCCTCTTTGTAGCTAATATGTCAGTTTTTCTGGTCCACAGTTGTGCTTGGGGCCTATGAACCCTAGACAGAGCAAAACTATCCAGCCTCCTTGGTATTAGGTTTTGAAGCTCCTGTCATGGAGAAAATCCGATATTCTAACAGGCAACAAAATGTTACCTTCTTACTCCCGCCAAACTCATTGCCAGCGGTCCTCAATGACTCCTCACCATTCTGTTCCCTTCTTTCCCACACCCCAGTCCAACTCCGAGCTCCCCGTAAACTGCCCCCGCCAGGATTAGCGGCATCCCAAAGCCCACCCTCAACCTGCTAGAAACTTCCAGCGCAGGGGATGGTGGGGGCGACCCCTGTCTTTGGACCTGTGGCTCCCTAAAGCGGCATAGTCCCCGAGATTCCCAGCCACCGGCGGCAGTTTCCTCGGGGCCAGGGAGCCTGTCGCAGCCCCCGCCTGCACGGATGAACTCAGGTCCCGAAGCCCAACCCCTGCAAGACCACCTCGCCCCGGGCGCCTCACCCTGATAGGGCTTCGACAGCGAGTGCTCCCGTTTCAGGTACTCGAACGTTTGACCCGCCCCGACTTGCCGAGGTCCCTGCCCAGACCCCAACAAAAGGAGAAGCAGCAATATCTTTGACCCATTCCGAGCTGACAAACGCCGCCGCCACCGCTGCCACCACCTAGAGTGTCCCAGAGTCGCCGCCATGTTTCCCACCGCCGTCCCTTCATCTAAAGCCCGCCCTATCGCTCAGCCCATTGGGCCTTGGAACCATCTGCCCTGAATACCATTGGGTCTTGTCAAATCCCCGCCCCCGCAGGTGAGCATCTTGCCAATTGGCTGGTTTTGGTATCAGTTGCCTTGCCAACTCGGGGAAGGGGCGTGGCCGGGTGCCCGAACTCCCTAATTTGCTTTTGTCCTATGCTTTACTAGGCCTGCTGGGATACATAGTGATTTCCATTTTGTTTTTACGGTCTAGAGTAAATTTAAAGACTTGAAATGTTGCTTCCGGTCCCAAGTAAACCTTCCACGCTTTTGGCCATGGTACCCGGCTGCGTGGAGCTATCAGTCAAGAGAATATATCAAGATCTTTTAGAATATCTGGAGCTCACAAACCAAAATTCCTTAATAAACTGCTCTGGCAAAATAACATTCGTGTAATACCAAAAAGGTTTTGAGGCATTTATGCAAAGTACTAGCATATTGTTCTTATCGTACTGATTTGAAAGATAATGCTCAGCCATGTCCAATAAAATATCTTGAAGTATTGTGCATAAAAAAAAAAGTGAGAATATAGAACTGAAAGAAGTAACAGACAAAATCCACAAAGTAGTTGGAAATTTTAAAATTTATAAAAGACAACACTATGGACCAACTTGGCCTGATAACATTTATAGAAACTCCACCTACAACAGCAGAATACACGTTCTCTAGCCATCCTCCACGTTGCCACCAAAGTGACCTAAACCATCAAACCATGGTTACTGTCAAAGTTAAGATTGGTAAACCTTATCATCACTGGGTTTTGTTTGTTTGCTTGTTTTAAAGAGAGATTTTTTTATATAGGGCACATGCACTTACTGGAGAGACAGAGAGGGACAGAGACACAGCCAGCCAGAAATCACCCCCCAAGGGGGATGGCCATGCTACAATCCCTTCTACTCCATTCTCTTCGCCGGATCCTGGGCATGCACACACACACACCTGGTGTGAGTTTAACCACTGAGTCTGGGATTCGAACCATGGTGGACTGTGGGAGTCCAGTGACCTAACCATTACTGCGTTTGCTGGTCTCAAACCTCATCATCATTGTAAACAAGGCCCTTGATAACTGGCCATTCCCTGAGCAGTGAGGGTCCTCACCTTGGTTCATAAGCTCTCTGCTGTCTGGCCCTGGCCCTCTCCTGGCCTTACTGCCCGAAGCTCCCTTCCTCTGTCTGTTACAGCTTCCTCTCTTCTTCTCTTTGCCAGCCCACCTTTTTTTTTTTTTTTTTTTTTCTGAGAGAGAGATTTTTATTGCTATAGGGTGTGTACACTCACTGGGGAGACAGAAAGTGAGGAATTACCTCCCCAGGGGGATGTCCACACCACAATCCCCTCTCCTCCATTCTCCTTTTAGGATTTTGGGTATGCACATACACATGCTCGGTGTGAGTTCTAAGCCTCCAGGTCCAAGACTCAAACCAAGGTCAGCTGAGTGGAAGTCCAGCAACATAATCATTATGCCACCTGCTCTATGCCACCTGCTCGTCCCACCAGCCCACTTTCTTCTGGAGACCTTCCCAGACACGCTCAGGCCAGAGTAGTTGTTCCTCTCTAAGGTCTCAATAGGTTTACACTTTTTTTTTTTTTTTAGAGGTTTTTCCTATCGGGCAAGTTGTACACTCGCCAGAAAGACAGAGAGATACAGAGAGACAGAAAGCGAGAAATCACCCCCCGGGGAGGACGGCCACACCACAATTCCTTCTCCTCCATTCTCCTCTCCAGATCTTGAGCACGCACGCGCCTGGCGTTAGTTTATGCCTCCGGGTCTGGGACTCGAACTGCAATCGACTACATGGGAGTCCAGCGACATAGCCATTACGCTAACTGCTGGTCCCCCAGGTTTACACATCTTATAGAGCACTTGACAGATCTGGGGCTATGTCTTCTCAATAGCTTGAACCAGTGTTAACTCTATCTTTTCTGAGCAAAATTATTATTTAATAAGAGAAACCTGAATATGAGCCTGCTTTACAGGGGATCAACTTTTAAAAAGTAAAATGGCCGGGCCAGCAGGTGGTATAGTGGGTAAGGGGCTGGACTCCCATGTGGCCAACTGTGGTTTGACCTGGCAGCTTGAAAAGTACTCCATGAACATGTGCATGCTTGCCCAAAATTCCAGGGGGAGAAAGGAAGAGAAGGGATTGCAGAATGGCCATCCCCCGGGGGATGATTTTTCACTTTCCCTTTTACTATCTCTCCAGCAAGTGCATGCACCCTATGGCAAAACCTTAACACACACACAAATTGTCACAGCCATTGATCTTTTACACACTCCACATGAAGCAGAGGCATGGTGATAAGAAGTTAGGAATTGCAGTTAATCTACTCATGTCATACCCAGCTTTAAAATCATTCATGGCTCCTAATTACCACAGGATAAAATCCAAACTCCTTAGTGTAGCACTCGAGGCCCCTCACACCTGACTGAAATCAGGCTGTACACATGTCCATTATAATGTGTGTCACCAGAATTATGCGCTTAATTAGCAGGTTACATGTTTGTCTCCCCAGCAAGGCTGGGAGCTCCTGGACCACAGGAAGTTGGTTTACTCATTTCCTCTCCCAGGCCCCACCTACTTCCTAACCCATCACTCAGCATATAGCCACATAGTAGGGGTTCTAATTTGTGTTTTGTTTTGTTTTTGCTATAACACACATGTGATCATTGGAGAAAGAGAGAACGAAAGGGAAAATGAGAAATAGTCCCCTGGGGGGGACAGCCGTGCCATAATCCCTTCTCCTTCACTCTTCTCTCGCGATTTTGGGCATATACACACATGCACCCAGTGTAATTTGCAAGCCACTGACCTGGGACTCAAACTGCAAAGTCAGTCGTGTGGGATCCAGCCTCCTTGACCTTCATGCTACCTCCCGTCCCAGGGGTTCTAATTGTTTTGGATAAAATTCTTTCCACTATATTCCTCTGTCAGCTGGTGAAATACACTTAAAATAATGCTACTGTTATAACCATGTACAATTCAGAGGCATTAAGTACATTTGTAGTGTTATACAACCTGTCACCCGGATTTCTGATATAGTAGCATCAGCAGAGCTCTTATTGTAAAATTCTTCTTCTTTTTACTTATTTATTTTTAATGCTGAAGGGTGCATGTGTGCTTGCCACCAAGAGAGAAAGGGAGAGAGAAACAGCATTCCCTCCCATGGGTATTGGCACCTGATTATGCTTTCTCCATCCTCTCAGGATTTGGGGCATACACACACACACACACACACACACACACACACACACACACTCTGCATGTTTTTCAGGTGTCAAAGCTGGGATTCCAACAGTGGATGGCCATGTGGGATCCAGCTTACCTGCTGTGCTACAGGACCAGCATTGTAAAATTCTTTTTTTTTTTTTAAGAATTATTTTACTTAACTTTATTTATTTACTTATTTATTTTAATTTGACCAGAGAAGGACAGAGTGAGAGAGAGAGAGAGAGTGAGTGAGAAAGCAAGTTGCCAGGTCTGGGACTTGAATTGCAGTCATCCATGTGGAAGTCCAATGCCCTTAACCACCACACCACCTGCTGGCCCTGTAAAATTCTTTATGATGAAAAGGAGAATCCTGCGAGGCCCGGCCTGCGTGGCCGGGGCTCTGCTCCGTGTTCCGAGGCCCGGGCCGCCCAGCCCCCGCTGCCTCTCCAGCGCTGGGGGGGTCCCCCGCCCGGCGCCGATT